AACTGGCAAGGAGCACATATATCGTGGAGATGCTGGACAAAGGAATGAGTCACATCTCCGGTGGGACACAGGAGGATGATAAGAGATTTCATCACGCTACTCAGGACAATGTGCAATTTGAAACTTACTATTTCCAAAATTTTCCATTTAATATTTTTGGACAGTGGTTGACCATGGGTAACTGAAACCATGGAAAGCAAAACCACAGATAAGGGGGACGACTATATACACTATCGCATCTGTTGGTTCACTTCTAAGAAGACTTCCTATGGAAATAACCAGAGAGCAAAGATTTGTGCCAGGATATTTATCTCAGTGAGGTTAATAAATAGAGAAAAACAGCTACAGTAACCTGTTGTATAAACTCAGAACCTCCATACAGCAGAATACTATGTAACCATTATGATGAGGAGATAGCTATGTTCAATGGCAGAGAAAAATCTCCACAAATATCAGAAGAAAAGTTTCCACATAGTTTGGGTGGTGCAAGCCCATTTTGTAAAAGAACACAATTGCTTACAACAAGGAATAAAGAAATAAGTCTAGAACAGTGGTTTTCAACCTTCCTAATGCCGCGACCCTTTAATATAGTTCCTCAGGTTGTGGTGACCCCAACCATAAAATTATTTTTGTTGCTACTTCATAACTGTAATTTTGCTACTGTTATGAATTGTAATGTAAATATCTGATATGCAGGATGTATTTTCATTGTTACAAATTGAACATAATTAAAGCATAGTGATTAATCACAAAAACAATATGTAATTATATATGTGTTTTCCGATGGTCTTAGGCGACCCCTGTGAAAGGGTCGTTCGACCCCCAAAGGGGTCGCGACCCACAGGTTGAGAAGGACATGAAACACAATTGTGAGATTATGGGTAATTTAAACTTTTCTTATCTCACGTGAAACATTTTTCTATAAGGAACAAAGATTATTTTGCATTAAGGAGAAAAAAAGTGATCAGGCTGACTAGATGTGGAAGAACATTCCTGCTGAGGGAACAGTCTTTATGAAATCACAAGTGTGCAATCGTGGGCATGTCTAGGGAATGACAAGTAGCTCATTCCAATCTGAGAGGAAAGTGTGTGTGGGGTGCAGTGGCTGGGATGAGGGGACAGGTCCTCGGGAGACTTGTGAGCTGCAGGCAGGGATAAGGGCTTTATCCTGACCAGAGGTGCACAGCAATGAGACAGAAGCTGAGCAAAACTGAACTAGAGGCTGAAGACCAAGTGGCCAGTATGACAAACAGTTCAGGAGGATAGAGGCTGGTTCCTGGTCCCCCATGGGCCATATGGCATCTGCAGAAGGACCAAACACCAGAACAGAGAGCAGGGCAGGGCTGCACAGTAAGGCTAGCTGGTGACTGTGGATGGAACAAGCAACAACAAATGCATGTCCCCACGTGGGGCTGGAGCCTGGCTGGCCAGAAATATTTTGAATATTGAGGTCACCAAGTGAAACATTCTTGGATCCCAGTGACCACCCCGTCCCTCATTCCTCCTGTCATCAGGGCCTGGCCCATGGTCAGCACTCAATGAATATTTGCAGGGTGAATGAATGTCCATGCTGATATGCATTCTCCTCCAATCCCCAGACCCTTTTATTTATTCATTCCTTCAACAGACTATGACTACCTCCAGGGATAGAGATGAATAGGGTCCCTGCTTCCAAGAACTACATGGACCTAATGGACAATAAAGTTCCAACTTCAGTGCAGTGTGGAAACCCATGTTGCAGGTCTGCCCCGATGTTATGGGAACCCAGAAGTGAGGCATCTAAAACTGACCGGGTTGGGCCAGGGAAAGCATCCTAAAGGAAATGGGAGGGGTTTTAAAGAAGCTGAGTGACAGAGTGAGATATGGAGTGTTAAAGAGATTCCTTTGCTGCAGTGGGAATGGTCTGGAGGGAGCATGGGTGACCAGTTAAGAGGCAAGAGCACTAATGTAGGCAGAGGATGATGTGGCCTGGTCTAGTATGAAGGCAGGGGAGATGGAAGAAAAGAGACGGAAGCATCCAAAGGGAAAAGTCAGGGATACATGTCAAAGGTCATGTTTATATTTCTGAGCAGAGCCAATGAGTGGACAGTGGTGCCATCGGTTACAATGGGTGGTGCAGTTTCCTTGGCTTGCAGGAAAGTCAAGTTCAATTTGGAAAACACTGAATTTGAGCAGTTGAGGGGTCTGAAGCTTAGAGGAGCTTTGTGGCTGAAAGAGAAGTGGCAAACTAAAGGGGAAGCTAAGCTGCAGGTGCATCCACTTACCACCATACAGACTTACAAAGAAGAGGCTTGGGAGTAACCCTGAGGACCGCTGAAGTTAATAGCTCAGAAGGGGCTGCAAGGGAGGCAGAGCAAGGCCTCAGGGTTGGAAGAGAACCAGGGTGGTGGTTCACAGAAGCCAAGGGAAGAGGCTTCTAGAAGGAAGAGGAGACAGTAATTCGCTGTGTCTGTGAACAGGAGAAGAACAATAGCTAGAATAGTGATTTTCAATTGTGAGTGATTCTACCCCCTCGGAAATATTTGGCAATGTCTGGGGACATTTTTTTGGTTATCACAATTCTGAAAGTGCCACTGGTATCTAGTGGGTGAAGATCAGGGATGCTGTTCAACATCCTACAACACACAGGATGCCCCACCCCAAGAATTATCCAATCCCAAATAGCGATAGTGCTCAAGTTGAGAAAACCTGAGCTACAGGAAGTTGGCAAATTTTAGCAAGGATTTTTTTTTTTACTCCTCACCCAAGGATATGTTTTTCATTGATTCTAGAGAGGCAGGCTGAGGGAGAGGGAGAGAAACATTGACTGGTTGCTTCCTATTCACCCCAACCAGGGATCAAACCTGCAACCTGGGTATGTGTCCTGTCTGGGAATTGAACCTGTGACCCTTTATGGGACACACTCTAACCCAGCGGTTGCCAACCTTTCAGATCTCACAGACCACCAATGGCGACTGCTGCTCTAACCAACTGAGCCACACTGGCCAGGGCTAGCAAGGATTTTTTAAACGAGCAGAGACTGCTGGCCGGTGTGGCTCAGTGATTAAGCGTCAACCCATGAACCAGATCACGGTTCCATTCCCAGTCAGGGCATGTGCCTGGGTTGCGGACTCAATCCCCAGTAGGGGGAGTACAGGAGGCAGGTGATCAATGATTCCCTCTCATCATTGATGTTTCTATCTCTCTCTCCCTCTCCCATCCTCTCTGAAATCAATAAAAATATATTTAAAAAATAAATTAATTAAAAATACTTTGAGTTCCAAGCCCTCCTCTGACAAATCAATTCCTTATACGGGGTCAGCCAGCCTCTCCAGGAGTTATCCAGTCATGGGCATCGTCCCATCTCTCGCAAATGCTGAGAGTTGACAATGGGTACATGTGGTTCAATATCTTACTCTACTGTTATGAAAAAAAATTTTTTTAAGTCCTCACCCAAGGACATGCTTAGAGAGAGGAAGGGGAAGGGGGAGAAGGAGAAACATTGATGTATCAGAGAATACATCGATTGGTTGTCTTCCATAAATGCCCCCTCTGGGGAGACTGAACCTGCAACCCAGGTATGTGCCCTAAGAATCAAACCAGCAACTTTTTGGTGCACAGGAGGATACTCAACCAACTGAGCCACTCTGGCTAGGCTAGTGTCATGTAAATTTAAATATTATTGTATTTCTATAATAAAAATACTGTTTTACTTTAAAAAAATATTTTTATTAAAATTTAGAGAGAGAAAAAGGGAGAGAAAGAGAAACATTGATGTAAGAGTGGAACATCGATCAGCTGCCTCCTGTACGCTCCACATTGGGGATTGAGCCCACAACCTGGGTATTGAACCAGCACCCTTTTGGTGCATGGGACGATGCCCAATCAACTGAACCACACTGGCCAGGGCTGTTTTACTTTAAAATTAGTTTCAGTGTAGGGAATCATACATAGTCCCACAACCCAGGTGGCAGCCAAAGCCATCCTGGGAAGACTGTCCATTCCTCAGCTCACCAGAGCAGAGAGGAGGAAGGGGAGGGGGAGGAGAAGAAGGATGAAGAGGAGGAAGAGAGGGGAAAGGAGAAAGAGGAAAAGGCGGGGGAGAAAGATGTGGAGGATGAGGAAGAGAGGAGGAGAAGAGGAAGGAGGGAGAAGAAGAGGAAGAAGAGGAGGAGGACAAAGAGGGGGAGAGCTCTCTAAAACAGTGTTCTTCCCTGGGGGGAAAAGAATCCTAGTACCTGGTCTTTCCATATTTTTCTCCAGAGTCCTTGAAACCAAGCTCTCAGAATGACAACCTTACCAGGTACTACTGGGCCTTCCTCAAACCTTTATGAGGTAGGTAGCATCAGGTGGTAGGCACCACCATACCCACATTATGAATGGAGACACTGAGGCTTACAAGTCATACTTTGAGGGAGTGGAGAGCAGGGCTTTGAACCAGCCTACCAACCCCACATCCAGCCTGTTGAACCACTGCCATGCTCCCATTCCCACAGAGAGGTCAAGTTCAGTGTGTTTCAGATGTTCAGGTTGATGGAGTGACAACAAACAGTCAAGGTCACCCAAACCTAATGAGGAGCCACTCATTGGGGACTCAGTGGGCCTGACCCACTGAGTGGGAGCCTGAGAAGATGAATGGGCCTGCCTGGAGCAGGGCGCTGGTCAGTCCCTTCCATAGGTGAGCCCACAGCAGGCCAGGCTGTCCTTCTTTGGCACCTTCCAGCTCTTAAGAGCAGACCTAGTTTCTGGTGTCTCCTCATTTTTCCTCCCCTTCCACCATCTTATTTTGGACATGCTCTCTGTCTAATGTTGATTTTTACCTCTTTTGGGAACCTACATCCAATCTTATACCACGACGGTGGCAGAGTAGAGTCTGAGATAAAAATGAAACTTTAAAAGTATCATTGCAAGGCTGCAGCTCTTCTACACTGAGGAATGCTGCAGAGTCACAGGTAAAAAAGACAGTGCTTAACAGGACAGCCAAAAGCACTCCCTCTACAAAAACGTCTTGGTTTCTTTACCTGCGACTTTATCCCGAATAAGTTTTGCAGACTCGACTTCACCAATACTGCTGAACAGACTTCGCAACTCATCCTGGGTCATGTTCTGAGGGAGGTAGTTGACTATTAAATTTGTTCTCCCGATGTCATCCCTGCAGTCTTCGGCCATGTGGTCTTCATAACCATTAGACATTGTATTTTTTAAAAATCTGCAGGGGAAAAAAAATCAAGTAAATTCCTAATGTTCAAATTGCAGAATGTGAAACAAAACTAATGACTGCATTAGCACTTAGTTTTCTCTTCAACGTATGTCCACACAAAAACCTGCACATGGATGTTTACAGCAGCCCCCAAACTGGGAGAAACCACGATGTCCTTCAGTAGGTGAATGGAGAAAAAAACATCTACATAAGGGAGTATTATTCAGGAATAAAAAGAAATGAGCTATGAAGCCATAGAGACATGGAGGAACCTTAAATGCACACCGCTAAGTGAAAGAAAACAGCTTGAAAGGCTACATATTATATGATTCCAATTATACAACACTGTGGAAAAGGTAAAACAATGGAGACAATAAAAAGATGAGAGGTTGCTGGAATTTTGGGAGAGGGATGAATAGATGAAGCACAGAGGATTTTTTAGGGCAGTGAAGCTATTCTGTGTGATACTATAATGGTGGATACATGTCTTTCTACATTTGTCCAAACCCATGGAATGTACACCACCAAGAGGGAACCCTAAAGCAACTACGGGCTTCAGATAATATGTATCAGTAATGGTTCATACTAATGTGAGATGCTAATAATAGGGGAAACTTTGTGTTCGAGGAGAGGTATATGGAAACTCACTTTGTACTTTCTTTGTAATCTTTCTGTAAACCTAAAACTACTCTAAAAAAGTCTGTTAAAACAAAACAATTCCAAGTTCAACCGTTTCCACTTACTAAGAGGGCTTCAAAAAAGACACATACAATTTCAGCACCATCATTTAAGTTCCATATACAATGTGCAACATTAGTCCAATCTCCCAGCATTTCTTTTACTTATTTGCAAATGTACTGTTCCCTGCTCTTTATAAAGTAGTTTGGCATCAAAAGCCAAAAAAAGAGATTAGAAAGTTAGACTTCATAAGGTTCAAAACTTTGCATGCCAAAAGGCATCAGAAACAGACAAGCAGAAGACTGGGAGAAAATACAGTTGACCTTAACACAGAATTGAAAGCATGCAGGCTTTGGAATGCCTTTAGTGGACCCACATAGTTCAAATCCGTTGTTCATAGGTCAGCTGCATTTTTATAAGGTAGATTAAAA